AATGACCATTTGCATTCTTCTTGGATGATACCCTTGAGATTCATAAATTGAGATAGAACTTACTCTCAGCAGTGGTCTCTTTTCTTTTTCTTAATACTGTCTACATCTACTGATGTTTCTGAAAAGAAATACCTAGTGTATATGTGTGTTGTTTTTGCTGTGTGCCCTTGAGTCAGAACCAACCTACAGCTAACTCTCCAGCACAGTTTTAGAGGCAGTTAATCACACGGGAGAAGATTGTCCTTCTTTCTCCTGCGGAGCAGTTGGTGGATTCAAACTGTGTGCCTTTGGGGATTGTGGCATAGCTTCTTACCACGAAGCCACCACAGCTCCCTAATACACACACACATGCACTAAATAATGCTGATAAATAGCTTTTTGCTCTTGTGTAGATTCTAACTCGTGATGACCTCAAATGTGCATACTAGAACTTCTCCTTAGGCTTTTTCATGGCTATAATATTAATGAAAATAGATTTCCAAGTCTTTCTTCCATGATATTTCTGAGTAAGTTTGACTGCTAACCATTAGATTATTAGTTGAATATAAACTGTGGCACTTGGGAGCCTTCAAGTGAATGAACTGGTTCTGACATTTGTTATTGTTTTTTAAGTCAGTGAATCCAAGTTGTCTTTTCCTGATAACACCAGCAAGTTTTCAGAGACTGTCAATTGCTCCAAAGGTGATTCCCCACCCTTCTCCGGTGGAGCAGCTGATGGATTTAAATCTACTGGTTTGGGGTTGGCAGCACAATGTTGATAAGTCAAAGAATTTTAAAATTTAGAAAAAATATAGAGACCTTTGCTAAATATTCAAAGTCAAATTTAAAATAATAATATATTAAATAATAATATGTCCATGAAATAGAATTCATTATTAATTTAAGAGACAGACTCGATAACTTCTCCGTGCATGTCTGATGCTGTTCTGGGCATTGGGGACCTGGATGTGAGTAAGATCCAATGAGTCTTTGATGTACTGGCACCTAAATAGCCTGTAGACTCTAAATTCACATGCCAGCATGCCTCAGAGCACTCTATTTTAATCACTGGAATTGTCAAAGCAGGTCAAGGAAACATTTAACAGATTATACGTTCATACATGCTTGGACTATTAAAAACTTAAATTACAGTTTGTAGTAGAATTCAAAGGCAAGTCTTTACTGGTTCAAAAAACAGGGATTCTAACTGGTTTCCAGACAGGAAATAAGCCTTATTTCCACTTTCTTATCTGGGAGGCATGCATTTTCTTTCTTTTTCTAATTATAATTTAAGTGGAAGGTTATAAGGCAAATTGGTTTTTCATTCAACCATTCATGCACATTTTGTTCTATAAAGGTACCCTAATTCTGTGGTTTCCTGTTTCAATTCATGCCCTACCTGAACAAGAAAGTACTTGTTTTCCTACGTCATAGTTTGTTCCTCTGTAGACATGAACTTGTAGCTCCGGTGATGGAATGTTAAACAAATGAGAGCTAAAGTGAAAGGCCAACATTAGAATTCAGGAGTCATTCCGAGGGAGAAAATCATGTAGTCTCCTTACATGGGATTTATACCCTTAAGAACCCAATGAAGTGTCCCCATGAGAGTGAGAAAAATGGATATAAAAGAGCTTGAAATTTCAGTTCAAATGTAACTTTTATTAGCAATAATATTTTTCTATAGACACAAACAAATGTTTCACAAGCAAACATATTTGACAAGGCATAAACAGCTGTACTAATGGGTGTGGGTAGGGATACAGAAAAATGCTCAGCTTGGTTTCACCCTGTCAAAGCATTGTTTCAAACAGCTTGGGTCTGCCTGTTAAAGGGAATTTTCCTGACAATCTTCTGTTTGTCAATCAAGGTGTCACACCCATCCAGTTTTACAAAACAAAGCTTTTAATTGACTGTCAGTGAGTCAGTTTCTCACCCTTCCTTATCTTTGGCAACTTCTCTGGCTCAGTAGGAAATGTTTGTCTCAAGTAAGTTGATCTGTTTCAACAAGTTTTAGTTATAGATACACAAGTACTTATTGACACCTAAACTCACCAAATGTTGATTTTTCTTAATAGTTTAAGAGAAGCTGAAGAAAATGCCAAGAGAGAAGGTGAAACCAGAATTCGACGAAATGCTGAAAAGGTAAGTGACTCACCAACCTAATTTTGTTCTTGTGGCCATGAATATTGACATACTTCTACCTTTGAAGTAACATAATAGTGTAATTGTTTGATTTCTTCTTATTGTTCCTTCATTTCAAAATTTCTCAAATTGAGTTGTTGTTTTGTGGTGATGTTGTTATGTGCCATCAAGTTGGAACCAATTCATAGCTGACTTTCCAGTGACTTTTCAGAGGCTGTAAATCATGGAGGAGATCTCTCATCCTTTTCCCTAGGAGTAGCTAGTGAATTCAAACCTGATGACTTTGAGTTCCAGAGTAATTCCTTATTACCAGAGCACTATTTCTACTATATTACTCAAGAGAGTCATAGTTAAAACAACATTTTCTCCCTATGGTTCAAAATGCAATTCCTTCTCTTGCTTTCAAAGCAAATCAAAGATGCTGGGAGAGGGTTTACATTCTCAAGGTTATGTCACCTGGTGACAGTGAGTTTACAGGTTGAGCTGATGACAGGGCAACAGTCTGAATTCACCAACTTTTCCATGGAGGGACAATGGGTGGTCTCTTGCCTTGGGTGCTCCATGGAGTGTTGCCAGGAGTCAGATTCTCTGTGATAACAGTAGATTTCACTCTTGGATTTTCAGTGAGAGTGATATCAGGTAGTATGGTAAATGATTGTCCTTTTGCTTGAAAGTCAGAGTACCTGAGTTTTAGCCTTAGTTCTCCGGTGTTCCTAGCCAGTGTAAACTAGCATGCCACCTCTTTCTAAGCCCCAGTTGTCTTGTCAGGCAACAAAAAGAGGGAGAGATTGATATATGGTCTCAATTTGCTTTTTCTATTGAGTTGTGATTCCACGTCATTTAAAAAAAAAACAACACAACACAACTTTTTATTTTATACAAATTCCTTATACATCGTTTTCCACACTGGATATTTATCATTTTCTTAACCAATCCCTCCCTCCACCCATCAAATTGTGCAGCCCTATGATTATGCCCCCGACCCATCCTCACATCTTTTAACCTTTTGTGCTAATATTTGTGGATAGTAAATACGGCATGTGTTTTCCTTAGAGAGCAAAACGGCCCAGAGTTTCAATAGCCAAGAACTGGATTTCCAACCCGTAATGCCATTCAATAAAACAAATCCCCCTCTGAACAGTGTTTAGAGTTTGAAATAAGAACACAAAACATTCAATATGGTCTATATTTTTTGAATATTCAGGAAGGATTTGAAAGACAAGGCTCTTGTGATGGTTGTTAAATTACAACCTTAAGTTTTGATTCAGCCAAGGTTAATCACATTTTATTCCTCTGAAACCACAAAGAGCGATCTTCCCTTGTCTTTCATCAGATTTTAACTTTATTTTCCTCTTCCTTCTGTGACTGGGATCATTGTGTTTGTGGGGTCAATGAACAGATTATATTGAATAGGAAGGAGCTAAGGTGGCTCAACCTGCTAGATGTTTTTCTGCCAACCGAAAAATTAGTGTTTAGGACCCACTCAGTAGTAGCACTTCAGAAGAAAGACCAGGAAACTTACTTCCATAAAAATCACAGCCAAGCAATCCTCTGAGGAGAGATTCCAGCCCGATACAGGGAGTCCTCATGAGCTGGAATCAACATGATGGTACTTCACAACAACAATAACATGCTCAATAGGACGGCTTGGTAGTGATGGCTCAATATCTACCCCATAATTATGCTGTCAGTGAGTTGCTCACAAAAATATTTCCTCAGAAACTCTTTGGATGAATCACAATGTATAAACTGAAATTATCATTGTTGCTGTATGAGAGTCACTGAGCACTAATTTTGCTGCTGGTGCAGTGACTAGCAGGTGTCTCTAGATTGTTTCAATCAGGAAGTTTGGAGCACACCTACTGCTCTTAAATACACACACACACACACACACACACACAACCAGGAAAGGCTAAAATAGATGAATGGAACCTTCTAAGAATTAAATCCCTATGCATATCCAAAAACTTCCCCAACAGAGTAAAAAGGGAAGCCACAGACTGGGAAAAAATATTTGATAATGACATGTCTGAAAAGGGACTTATATCTAGAATTTATAAAATACTCGAGCACTACAACAAGATAAAAGTAAATAACCCAGTTGAAAAATGGGCACAGGATATGAGCAGACACTTCACCCAAGAAGACCTTCAGATGGCCAACAAGCACATGAAGAAATATTCAAAATCCCTATGAGATATCATCTCATTCCAGTAAGAACAGCAAAATTTAACAGAACAGAAAACAACAAATGCTGTCAAGGTTGAGTAGAAACTGGAACCCTTATTCACTGTTGGTAGGAGTGTAAAATGGTGCAACCACTACGGAAGGCAGTATAACACTTTCTCAAAAAGTGGCAAATAGAAATACCATTTGACCCAAAAATTCCATTTTTGGGAATGTACTCTAAAGAAACCATAACTTCCACCCAAGCAGATATAAGCATACCCGTATTTATTGCTGCTTTGTTTGCAATAGCAAAAATCTGGAAGCAACCAAACTGGCCATCAACAGGTGAATGCATAGAGAAGCTCTGGTATATTCACACAATGGAATACTATGCAGCATTGAAAAACAAAGAACTCATGAAATATTATGCAAAATGGATGACCCTGGAGGACATTATGCTGAGTGAAATATCTCAGTCACAAAAGGACAAATATTACATAGGGCCACTGTTGTACTGACATCAGGGTTGAGGAAAGACAGAAAAGGAGGGGAGGAATGGTGTATATTTCATTGAAACATATGAAGGAGAGAACTGTTTAAAAGCAACATATGAATGGGTACTCTTGTCATTATGGAAGTCCAGAGTGAAGGCTGCATAGTGGAGTGGACTTGGGGGGAGGGATTGCATAAAAATTAAAGAGTTTTTCTTTTTCTTTTCAAGGAGAAGAGTGAATTGGGGTGGGGGAGGTGGTGGGTAGGGAGAAAAGTATAACAATGAATGGCTGGAAACCCTAAATCTTTGTAAGCTTTTATTAAAATTAATTTATAATAACCAAAAATACATTGACATAAACCAGTATTACTTTACTGCCAATCAAAATGCAACTAGTGTATAGGACTAGCAACTTTCACTTTAAGCCACAATCTTTATCATAAAGTATTACTTATTTGTTAAAAATAAATAGATGATATTTTCGAGTTATGGATAAGTAATATATTGTGCTTACTATGTTCCCATTCCAAATATATGAAAAAAATTAAAAAATAAGAAAAAGAAATATATATATTAGGAGACAATTAGGATTCTTTTAAAGTATGTTAATGGATTATAATTTATGAATAAAATAATCTGAAAATTCTAAATCCAGAAAAGGTCCAAAATGTCATTTATTCCATTAGCTTTATTGGAGTCTCTAGAGAACTTTATCATGGTTGTTTGGTAAGCTAGAATCCAGTCTATTTTTTAGTTATCCTGTGTCCCAGTCATTGATTTTTATGTTCTCATTTTCTTAGCTGAAAGGGAGTTAGGATTATAGTAATCTGTACTATCACGGGGAGCTGTGGTGCCTAGAATTTTCTTGTTAAGGTTTGTCAAGTCAATTATGTAAATTATCTGTAAACAACAGATTTGAACCTTTTACTATTCTGTGCCATCCTCATGATTTCTGACACACCGGAGTCCATTGCTGTAGTCACTGTGTCAATCCACTGGTGAGGGTCTTCTCCTTCACTGTCCTTCCACCTTCCCAAGCATCATGTCCCCTCTTCAATGAATAGCCTCTCCTAGCAACATCATGCCCAAAGTATGTGAGGCAAGTTTATCGTCTTTGCCTCCAAGGAGCACTATGGCTGCACCTTCTCCAAGACATACCTGTTTGTTCTTTTGGCAGTCCATGGGATATTCAATACTTTTCTCTAACATCACACTTCAAATGCATCAACTCTTCTTCTGTCATCCTTATTCATTGTCCAGCTTTCAAAAGCATAGCAAGTGATTGAAAAGACCAATGCCTGAATCAGGCATACTTTAGTCCTCAAACTAACATCATTTCTTCTCAGTAATTTGGAAAAATACCTAACTGCAGACTTTCTCAGTGCAGTATGTCTCCTGATCTCCTGACTACTGGTATCAAGTGTATTGATTGTGGATCTCAGTAAGATGAAGTCATTGACAGTTTCAATCTTTTTCTCCATCCATCTTTATGTTGTTTATAGGTCCAGTGGTGAGAATTTTTGTTTTCTTGACATTGAGATACAATCCATAGTGAAGGCTGTAGTCTTCAGTCTTCTGCAGCAAGCACTTTCAGTCCTTCTCACCTTCAGTAAGCAAGATTGTGTCTAGCAAGGACGGTGGCCTAGGATAAGAAGTTGTAATCCCACTGCAACTCCAAATGCACGTGGTTCAAATCCACCAACTGCTTTCTTCAAATATGCTGTCTCTGAAAACTTGCTGGAGGGTCAGCTGTTGGAGTTGACTTGACAGGACACAACAACATACTGTCACAAAACATTTTTATTGGCATAGCAATCTCATGACTAGAATGATTAGGTTATATTTTTGTTTGGTTTAGCCCTCATTCTCTCTTTCTCCCTCCCTCATTGCTGTTGAGTTAAACCAACTCATAGCTGACCCTTCTTTGGTTTCTGAGGCTGTAAATCACATGAGGGGCCGTTGCCCTTCATTCTTCCAAGAAGTCATTGGCAGATTCACACCATCAGAGAAGTGTAGATTTTGGATTAAGGGTATAGCATCAGAAGCTAGTCCATAGGAAGGACTAGCTCCCATTAGAGAACTCAGATTTTCGAAACACAGAGAGAACATGCAATTACTGAATTAGAATATTACAAATGCTGGAACAAGCTTTTCTTGATTTTTTAAGAAGTCATATCCTTCCTAAATAAAAATCAAACATGAGGATATCTCTTAAATGTACAGTGAAGAAATATTTTATTCACCCTTTCTGATATTTTCAATTATGATGCTAGAAATTCTCATTTATGAAATGTGCATAAGCAAAAATGATTCATAGTAAAAGATGGACAGAAAAAAGTATTATAAAGTGGGATCATGTCTTAATCCTTTTCCCATGTAAATTAGTTTAGATTGTTCTAGTTTTGATCATATTAACTATGTACAAAATATATTATCTCACAAATTCTGTCTTTGACTCACAAACAACATTTGTTTGTTTTATATTGGCTCTTGCACTTTGTTAAACTTTTATTGGAATCTCATGAAAGTTTTTTTGTATTTACTTGTTTTCCCTTAGAAACAAGAGCGATCTAGACATAGAAAACTAAAAAATTTTACCCAGGTTCATTCTTTCCTAGGATTACTTTCTTTTAATAAATACATCATGTAGTAGGTACAGTACCAAAAATTTGATATTTTTGTTGTTGCTTGTTAATATCATTAGTATATTGTAGATTCTACCAACTTTTACAAGACTATGAATTTATTGCAAAATTTCAATATTAGGAGAAAATGCTAATTTTTTTTTTTTGTTCTTCAAGGATTTTTGCAAGGAATATGAGAGCCAAGTGAGAGGTGGAAGACTTTATTGTACACGTGAGAGTGACCCGGTCCGTGGCCCAGATGGCAGGATGCATGGCAACAAGTGTGCCCTGTGTGCAGAGTTTTTGTGAGTACATGTGGTGATTTAAAAATATTTTACCAGAACAGGAAAGTTCACCTATTTTTCTTCTACTCTTAGATGATTATTTCATAACCATTTTGAAGAATCTTGCTCATTCATTTCTTTTTCTATGGCTAGCAAACGACGTTTTACAGAAGAGAAAAATAAAGAAGATGAGAACCTGAGAAATGCAAAAGAAAAAAATAAAGTTAAAAGAGAAATTGAGGTGAGGATTAGCTTAATCAGTTGTGTTATGACTAGTGTGTTTTGCCTATGTATGTGTGTATAGACAAGTATAGAATGCACTCTCAGTAATGGTTAACTGTTTGATACAATTACTAACGTACATTCTGGAAATTAATTTAAATGTATTGCATCAAAATTCTTAGAGAAAGGATTATAACATAACTACCTCTAGCTCTATTGGAAGGCCATTAATAAAACTGCATGTTAGGAGTTCCACACTCCTAAATGAAGGTGCTGGTATTGTTTATGCCCTTGAATTGGAACCAAAGTGTAGCTGTCCCTCCTGCAGGCTTTCAGAGGCTGAGGATCTCATGGGAGGAGATTGCCCATCTTTCTTCTGCACAGCATCTGGTGTATTTGAAGTGTGCACCTTTATGCTGGCAGTGCAATTCCTTACCACTAAGTCACCAGAGCTCTGATGAAGGCATTAAATACAAACATTAATGGAATTCTAAGTGTGAAGTTTATTCATTGCCAAACGTACAGGAATTTTTCAGAAGTTTTTTATTTAAAAAGCTTATCAATGTAAAAAAATCTTTATTATTTTTTAAAATCTTGTCACATTCTGTTATATAAGCATCTCTTAACTAGTAATCTGCCTTTTTTAGAGATAGTATCCTCAGTGTGTGCTCCAGTAATTAAAATAAGCCATTTGTTTTAGCTATCTCTCTCTATCAGAAGTTGTTGTTATTGTGCACCTTCGAGTTGGAATCTTCTAGTGGGTTTTCAAAGGCATGAAGAAACTAGTGTGAATTCAAAGTGCACACATTTTTGTTGGCGGCACAGTTCTGACTTCAAACTTTGGAATGTATAAAATGTAGATAAGGAAAACATTGTATGATAGAAATTTGTACCTTCAATGATTTATTAAAAAAAAAACAAAAGTTATCTTCACACATAGACCTCACCCGACAGACTGCACAGGATCATATCGACTACATCACTGGAAAAATTCCCGGAGTAACTCAATATCCACTGTCAAAACCAGACCATGCACTGACTGTGGAAGAGACCACCAATTGGAATATGGAAATTTAAACTGAAGCTGAAGAAAAATTGTAAAAATCCAGAAGAACCAAAATAAGATCTTGATTCTATGACATTAGAATTTAAAAGTAATTTCCAGAATAGTTCTGAGGTATTGAACGCTGAATTGAGTGAAGAACAGATGTGTTATGAGATGACATCAAAGATAGCCATGAGGAGAACAAAACATACTTTCAAAGGCAAGGAGAAAGAAAATGACAATATGGGTGCCATAGATGGACTAAAAATGACACTAAAGTGTCCAGAAGACGAAACAAAGAGAAGATATACCAAGCTCGGAGATGAACAGATTTCAAAGGTCATCTTGAGAAAAGAAAGCAAAGTATTATAACAAAATATACAAAGAACTGGAGTTGGAGAATAAAACAGCAAGAACCTGCTCTGCATTCCTGAAATTTAAAGAATTTAAAAAATAAAACTTGGAGATGCTATCAGCGTCTCAAGATCCAAAATGATCCAGAAAGTATTAAACGAGGTGGGAAGAATACACATAGTCACTGCTAGAAAAGGATTTGTTGTCACTGAAAAATTTCTTTAAGTACCATATAAACAAGAGCCAATAGTAATAATGTATGAAGGGAGAAGTTCAAGCTGCCCTGAAGGCATTGCAAAAAAAAAAAAAAAAAGGAATGAATGGAATACCAATTGATATATTTTCATTAAAAGATGTAGTCCTGGATATGCTTACCAGTCTATGTTATGAAATTTGGCTGATTGACTGGAAGAGATCCATATTGTTCTCATTCCCAAGAAAAGGTGATCCAATAAAATGTGACATTATCAAATGATACTACATGCAAGCAAAATATTACTCAAGATTATACAAAACCCCACAATTATAACAGTACATTGCGATGGAAGTGCTAGAAGTTCAAAGAAGGTTTAGTAGAAATCCTGGTACCAGGGATATCATTGCTGTCAGTTAGATCCTGACTGAAAGCAGTGAATGTCAAAAGAGTATCTATTTATGCTTTCTTTACAATACAAAAATATTTGACTGTAGGAAGCTTTGGTGGCCCACTGGCAAGAAGCTGCTCTGGAATTCCTAAAGTGCATAGTTCGAATCCACCAGATGCTCCACTGGAGAAGGAGGGGCGATCTCCTCCTGGGCTGGTCAGATCCGATTCCATGGTACACAACAATAATACATACATACATACATACAAAAAGGAGAGAAATATGTTAAAAAAACAAAAAAAATATTTGACTGTGTGGATCATAATACACTGTGGCTGACATTAAGAATAATGAAAATCCAACAACACTTATTTAAGTGCATAAAAAACTATACCTAGACAAAATGTCTAAACAAAGCAAGAGAACACTGCATGGTTTAAACATTAGGAACAGTAGGCATTAGGGTTGTATCCTTTGTCCATTCTTAATCTGTGTGATAAGCAAATTATTCAAGAAGCTTGACTCTGTGAAGATGAATGTGGCATCAGTATTGGAGGAAGACTCATCAAAAACCTGAGTTCTGCAGGTGTCACAACTTTGCTTGCTGAAAATAAGGAGAATTTGAAACACTTGTTTCAGAAGATCAAAAATATAGCCTTCAATGTGGATTACTTTGCAACATAGGGAAAGCAAATATACCACTGGATCGGAATGAAACATCATGATAGTTGACGAAATGAATAAAATTGTCAATGATTTAAATTTACTTCAATCCAAAAAGCAGCACACTGTGGACCAGCCGTACAGTTCTAATGAGGAGCAATGATGTCAGTTTAAAGGCCAAGGTGCACCCAATGAGGCTATTCTATGCAACTGAAAGCTGGACAAAGAATAAAGATGACAGAAAATTTCTTTGAGCTGTGGTGTTGGAGACAAGTGCTGAGGATCCCAAGAACTGCCAAAAGAACCAAAAAAAATATATGTTTTGGAAAACATACAGCAGTACTTTTCTTGGAGGCAAGGATGGCAAACCATCTCACATATATGGAGCATAGTGCTAGGAGACACAATTTCTTGGAAAGAGACATCATGCTTGGAAATATGGCAGGTCAGAAGAATTGACATAGTGACTGAAGCAATAATGGCAAATGTGTCACACATGATGAGGGTGTCACAAGATGGGGCAAGGTTGGGATCGATTGTTCATAGGTTTGCTGTGAGTCATATTTGACTAAGCAACACTCTACAACATCTTAGACATGAAATAATTGTGGTGTTGCAGTATTAGTATCTTTTGATTCTATATCCTCTTATGGTTTCCATGTTCATTAGATTCAATTCATTCTCCCTATTGTTTTTATAAGACAGAGGTTGCTTCCTTGAACCCATTTTATTATTAAATTTCAATGTTTGAAGACATTCTACAGCATATTTGAGCAAGTTTGCTCCATTTAAACTGCAATTTATTTTTTCTTTATTTATTCCTCACTTTTTAATACATATATATAAACTAATCCACTGTATTAAGTCCTTGTTTTCATGTAACTGTAGCTTATTGCTTAGACCTCATTTTCAGTAATATTTTAATCTATCACTTCAAGGTTTCTGATCTTTCACTTTTGTTAGTACCACAACACTGTACAGACTATTCTACCAGACCACCAACCTCGTTTCAATTTGATCTCTCATCATCTTTTAGATAATTCCTTTACTTATCAAATTTAAAATTTTAATTATTTGTTATATGTTGTTATTTTTGTTGGTGTTGAGTTGAGCACAACTCATAGTGACCCTATGAACAACAGACGAATCTACAATGAACCTAGTCCTTCTAACTTTACCTTCTATTCATTCAAATCTTCCACATATCTGGCAAGGTAATTACTCTTAAACAAAGATATGCTTTGTCATTCTCTACTGTAAATATTTATCTATTTCCCTTTACCTAAGAGTAAAATGTAAATTCCTTTCAAAAACAAAAAATTTAGTAGACTGGATTTGACTTACCATAAGGATCTCCTTTTTATCAATTTCTCACATTTTGCTTTCTTTAACTAATCTCAAAGGCATTATCCTTATGGAGGAAGGCCTCTCCTAGCTTAGTGTACTGTTAACATAAAAGTTAGTGGTTTGGATCTACCAGCTACTTGTTGGGAAGAAGATAAGTATTGTCCCTTTCTGACTTAGGTTTTTGACACCTAATGTATGGCCTCTAAGAGTCATCATTGATGGAAAGGCATTGGAAATGGTGGTGTTATAGTCATGAATACATCAGGACATCTCACAAGACTATATTCTTTCATATCTCTGTGCCGGTGCATACTATATAATTCCTCTTGAAGAGCCTTTTCTGCCACATTGCACATTTGAGTACATATTAAAAAAATGCAATTCAGACATTCCTTTTCTTTGAGCTTTCTCTGAATCAATCTCTTCTTTGTGCTTGTGATTGGTTAACTCAGACCTGTGGCTTATCTTTTGACTTTTTATATTTCAATTATTTGTCGTCTCTATTTGACTGGTTGGTTGTTGTTATTATGTGCCACCTAGTTGGTTGGAACTCACAGTGACACTATGTACAACAGCTCTCAACCCTGCTCTATCCTGAGACTTTATTGTCTCTGACACACTTACCTCCATTACCCCAGTCACTGAATAAATCCAACTCATCAAGAGTCTTCCTCTCTTGTGCTGCCCTCCACACTCCTAAGCATGATGTCCCTCTCGCAGGACTGCTTCCTTCTTACAATATGCCCGAAGTATGTCAGATGCAGGTTCAGAATCTTTGCCTCAAAGAAGCAGCCTGGTTTCACCCTCTCCAGCACAAATTTGTTTGTTCTCTTAATAGTGCATGGTATATTCAGTACTCTACACCAGCACAACTCAAAGGCATCAATTTTCCTTCTATCATCCCTAGTCATCATCCAGGTTTTTGATGCATAGCAAGTAATTGTGCCGCTCATAGCCTGGATCAAGTGTACCTCAGTCTCTAGACTGACATCATTGCTCTTCAACACTCTTTTTTCTTTCTAATTGTATCTTTCTAATTTGACACATTTATTAAATACATAAATGAGTCAATAGTACACAAAGAGACATGTCAACCTTTATCATTCCATTTTCCCCCTAAATCATTAATTTCTCTGTTGCAATTTAAGAAAGAACATTAAAGATTTATAAATACGGAGTACAGAATTTTAAACAGTTTCTTTTTTATTTTTTAGAAGCTCTGCAGTGACTATCAAGATCATGCAAGAAATGGAGTCCTTTTCTGTACCAGAGAAAATGACCCTATTCGTGGTCCAGATGGGAAAATGCATGGCAACTTGTGCTCCATGTGCCAAGCTTTTTTGTGAGTAAAATGAGGCCCAGAATTCTACCACTTTAGGTGGAGAAGTGCTTTTCAAGACAATCTAATCAACTTAACTTGCTTTATAGATGAGGAAACTTTGGCTCAAAAGAATGAAAAGATTATAAAAGTTACATGGAACACAGTGGGTAAAGAGTTAAATGAAGTATCAACTTATTTGTTCCAAGATACCAGATTTTTCCTACCACTTCCTTTCTTGTTGTTGTTGTTATGTATCGTCAGGTCCCCTGTAACTCATTGTGGCCCTATGTACACTAGCTCTGAACCCTGCCATATCCTGACCCAGTCTCACTGTCTCCAACACACCTACCCCCATTACTCAAGTTCTGTGTTAATCCATCTATCTTATCTAGTGTCTTCCTCTCCCGTGCTGTCCCTCCAGCACTGGGATGAACAAACTGCTGATATGGAAGTCTTCTTTAGGGATGCATAGACATCTCACCTTCTGTGGAGTGTAGGGTCCAGAGTTAGTACTTAACACAGAAGTCACTATGAAACACTCATAAATAACTATAAAAGTAAAGAAAAAAATATATGTGACATTTCTCAATATGCAAGAACTGACCATTTGTCTTGAAAATTCAGTGCAGCTTTCAATCTATTTGGTTGACTAAGTAGTTGAACGATATCTAAAATCTATGGCTTATTATATTATGTAAAAATCACATCTGGTTGAAAAACCTTTAGTTGCCTGTGAATATAATGGAATCCTAGTCTACAAAGCAAATTTATGTTCATTTGAATTACAAATACATATATAATGTGTACATGTTATATATGTAATTTGTACATTGTTGTTGACGTGGACCATTGAGTCAGAACCAATCCATAGCTGACCTTCTGGCCACTTTTTAGATTCAGTTAAATGCAAAGGAGGAGATTAATACATGTGTAATTTGTGCATATTCATATGGAGTATCTGATCTTTTTCAGCTCCCCTCACAAATTATCTTTTAGATAAAACAGTCTATACCCTATATATTTAAGTTGAATGAATAAAAATAGATGTGAAATGTGTGTTGCTTTTTTATCAAGAGTACAGTGACCTGACAGAGTCAAATCTGTTCATCCTTAAGTCGGAGGACAAAGTAACAATGAGAGTGTTTAGTTAAAATTGGTTTCTCTTCTTTCCTCTCTCATCAGCCAAGCAGAAGCTGCGGAAAGGAGAAAGATTGAAGCAGAAAGAAGAAATAAAAGACAATCTGAAAAGACAGCCTCATATGCAGTGAGTGAGATCTTTTCAATTAGTCCTACTTGGCACTAAATTTTGTCATACTTTAAAAATACCTATTGTACACTTTTTGGAGTCTGAAGTTGCTGGGAACCAAGTGGAGTTGATTGCAGGGAAAGAAAATGTAGTTTATTATTGAAAAGCTAAGTAAGAAGTTGTTTATTACTGAAAAGTCGGTTGTATAGGAGATAATTTGAAATAGATGACCTGAATAGTGGGACAGGCTGGACACAAAAGATAATGGTACTTAAACACATTTTTCTTATTGTTTTATTGTATAGGAACAGATCTTTATACTAATTGTGACAATGGGTTTGTGTTCTGCTCTTAAAAGTGTGGGTTTAAAGAAACACAAGTTCTTTCAGTAAACACAGGCTCGTAAGACAGAATGTTTGCAGTATTCAAAGCATTTTACTGCTGAACTAGGAGAACAGAATCATCTCAAAAACTGTCTCTGTGTCTGAACATGGTAACTGGTTTTTATACTTGGGTTAGGTGTTCTTCTTAACATATTACTACTTTATTTCAAAGCCACAGGATTTTTACATTCAAAAGAACAGTCTACCTATTGTTAATAGTAAACAGATAACTTGTGATGTAGTTTATAAGTCACTAAGGAAAACAGTTTCAAAAAGTAAGTGGTAAGTCAGGAAAGATGTATTGCCCTCCTGGTAAACAGGCTGTTTAAGGTCTGATTCACATATGACTGAGAAAAATACAACTTTAGGATTCTTGCATACAGTTTCTAGTTAACACACAACTTGGCAACAGTTTACTGAGAAAAGATAAGTGCTACTTCAATGAATGATGCATTTCCCTTCCAGGTAAACAGACAGCCTGAGGTACTCTGCATGACTGTAGAGAAATTACAACCGGGTCAGGAGGACCAAACAAATGCTAATTAGATGGTTAGACCAGTTTTGTAGGCTGGAAACACAGGATGTTAAGTTTTACAAGTATACCATATGTTCAAATAATAGTGAACTTATCCTGTCATGAAGAGGGCAATTAAGCCACCTGTGCCTGCCTTTTCTCATAATTCTGTTATGCTGTTTAACAAATGTTGCCCCTCCCTGCAAAGGGGCAAGATTACAAATAGAGAAACTAAACTGGCATAGGCCCAAGCCAGTTAGATCTGGATTTTGGTACCAGGTATCTTTGTCTAACTTGGGCAGGAAGATCAGAGGCCAGACTGAACAGGGACTCCTCTAACACCTTCCAATGGCTGTTGGGAAGAACTAAGAGATAAAGAGAATGTACATTACAAATTGTCAAACATGATGGGATTATAAAGCTTTATCACAAACTAGAAGAGGAAAAAGCTCCCAAATGTCCAAGTTATAAAACATGAGCTCAATTACAATTCTGAAAGTCTGTCTCAATAAAGAGGTACATTCCAGGACTCTGAAAGAGTAATGCCAGTTGAGGAAATAATTCGATGAGTCTTTAGTTTACAGTAAAATATACTGGCAACAATTTAGTGTCCAGGAGATCTGGAATCAGGCCAGGCCCACATTGGGTCATTACCTTCTCTGAAACAGAATCAATTATACAGAACACTCAATATGTTTTAGGAAAGACATGAGAGAATCAGTGTACAGAATATGCCAAATTACATAATGACTAACTCAGTATTGTCTAGGTCACTTCACTTTGGGAAGAGACTTCACAATAGCTAACTACAAGAGTAAATACTTACAAGTAAATCTAACCAGAAACACAAAGGATCTATTCAAAGAAAATGATAAAACATTGTTGTTGTTGTTGTTGTTGTTATGCGCCGTCAAGTCGTTTGTGACTCACAGTGACCCTATGTACAACAGCCCTAAGAAAAAGCAGATCTGGAGAAATGGAAGAATATACCTTGCTCATGGATAGGAAGACTCAATATTGTAAAAAAGACAATACTACCAAAGACAATTTACACGTTCTATGTAATCCCAATACAAATACCAATCCCATTCTTCAATGAGATGGAAAAGGTAATCTCCAGTTTCATTTGGAATGGAAAGAGGCCCCAAATAAGCAAAGTACTCCTTAAAAAGAGAAACAACGTAGAAGGCATCTCATTCCCTGAATTCAAATCCTATTGCACTGCAGGGGTGGTCAGAACAGACACATAGATCAATGGAATTGTTGTGCCCACGAAATGCCCCTCAAAGAAATCCAGAAACACGTCCGAAATTTCAAGAGCGTTTATTGTTTAATTTTTTCCACGCGTGGAGGCTTTTTTACCTTCCTGAGAAAGGTGGTGAAGGGAAAAAGCCCCGAGTTTTCCCTCCCACTTGTTTTTATAGCTTTTTCTTGGGTGCCCTGCTAGGGCAAAGAGATAGGCGGTCCAGGGAGTCAGTCATTTGGTCGGCTTTGGATGGGCTGGTTACTTTGCCCGCCTTTACTCTTTTTGTGTCACGTAGACACTTAGTTAATTCCTTACTTTTTCAAGGACAGACTGGGCTTTACCCGTGGCACTCGTGTTTGCCCTAAGCCAAGAATTTTTATGGCCCGCTTCTGCCTCCAGCGCTAATGGGGGTTTATAGAAAAAAAATCGGGTTTCTGCTGCCCCTTCAGGAATAGAATTGAGAACCCAGAAATCAGCCCATCTACCTATGGTCAACTGATTTTTGACAAGGAGATGAAATCAGTGAAGTGGGAAAATGAAACCATTTTTAACAAATGGCGTTGACAAAATTAGAAAACTATCTGTTCAAAACTCAAGCAGGATCCACACCTCACTTAATACACAAATACCAACTCAAAGTGAATCAAGGGCATAGGACTAAAACCAAGGACTATAAACTTCATGAAAGAAAAGCTTTGCAAATAGAAATACCATTCAACCCAAAATTCCACTACTGGGAATAGACCCTAAAGAAACCATAACTGCCACCCAAGCAGATATCTGCACACCTGTGTTTGTTGCTGCTTTGTTCACAATAGCAGAGTTGGAAAGAACCCAAGTGCCCATCAACAAACGAATGGATAGCGAAACTGTGGTATATTCACACAATGGAATAATACTATGTTGCATTGAAAAACAAGGAACTCCTGAAATATTATACTAAATGGATGACTCTGGAGAACATTTTGCTGAGCGAAATATCTCAGTCACAAAAGGACAATAGTGCTTAGTGCCACTGTTGTAAAACAGGACTGACATTGGGGTTTGGGGTAACTTAAGAAAAGAGGGGATAAATAATGTATACCACACTGAAACAGATGAGAGAGAGAACTCTCTCTTTAAAAGGAATATATGACTAGGTATTATTTTCACAAGAGTCCAGAATAAGAGCTGTATAGTAAAGTGGACTTAGAGGAAAGGAAACAATGAAAGAATTTTTTTTTTTCAAAAAGAAAAGCAAGCTCGGGGGACGGGTAGGTAGGGAGGAAAGTGTGCAACAATGTATGAATGAAAATCCAAAGTCTCTGTAAACTTTCATTAAAGTTTGAAAAAAAATTACTAGAATGGCATAAAAAATTTAAATTGGAGGGGAAAAAGATATAATATATACTGTCATTAACAAGGAAGACTTGCTAGATTTTGCTAACCATTTTGGGAGAAATTCTGTATGTGAATTTTCAAGATGAGTATTTTTTAAATTTCTCATATGAATTGGGTATAAAAATATTTTGAGTACACAGGGGAAGAATTTTATCTCTTTAATATTGTGATATAAATTTCCATCAACTGGCATTATCTATGTTTCATAGCTTGAGTGTCCCAAATTTCACTCGAGTTTATGCTTTATTTTTCACGAATTTGCGTGTCATCCTTGCGCAGGGGCCATGCTAATCTTCTCTGTATCGTTCCAATTTTAGTATATGTGCTGCCGAAGCGAGCACTATGCTTTATTTTTCATGTCACCCTCTTGAAAAAAGAAATCAAATAACAGTATTACTGTACTTAAAACATCCATAAATCTCCATCAATTAAATGCAAGATGGATGTTTTATAGTGCTTCTTTCTTTCCTTATTTCGCTCTTTAACTTCTATTTAGAAATTTGGATTTTGCTATTTCCTATTTTGTTATCTACGTATGTTTCTCCATCTCTATTGACAATCTACTCAGCTTATTTCTGAATCCATTTTTCACATAGAAAAATTCAACTTGCTTTTCACAGTCTCACTCTCCAGAAGCCTCTCTAGAAACCTCTGATTTCAGTCTCTGCATTTACAGATTTTTTTTCTTCTACCTACTTGTTTGTACTTAATCCATTTTGTCTCTATTGAAATCTTGCACTTTGAAGAGCTACTTCACAGCTGATTTGCCCGATGTACTATCACTTTACTTCTTGGCTGTGGCTTCCGGACTGTTTTTTGTGCATTTAAGCAGAATGAAAACCTTGACATCCTCAGTATTTCCCCCATTTATCATGTTGTTTCTTGTTGGTTCAACTGTGAGGAATTTTTTTTTCTCAACATTGAAGTGTAATCCATGCTAAAGGCATACTAAAGTTGTGATATTTGATCTTATAATTTAGATATTTCAAAATTCTAATTTGAATGAAAATGATGGTTTTGTCCAATTTTCTTTCTCTATCTTGGTAGGAACTGTGCAGTGAATACCGTAACTCTATGAGGGATGGGAAATTCCTTTGCACCAGAGAGAATGACCCCATCCAAGGCCCTGATGGGAAATTGCATGGCAACACCTGCTCCATGTGTGAGGCTTTCTTGTAAGTTGTGCTGCAGTTTCAGGAAAACGGGAATGGTTATTGTCTTCAACTTACTTTCTGCATTTCATTATGAGAGAACTATTCCAACAGGGAAATGAAATAAAAATAATTAGAGGAAGCTTACAAGAAATATAGAAAATCATATCCTTTGAAGACTGTTAGGATTTGGACACACTTAGACAAGGAGAAAGCTAGTCTTAAAATATTCAAGTAGCTTTCATTTTTAAACAAGACATTCTAGGTTTTTTCCATGGATAAAAGTTAGACCAATAGGTAAACACTAAGGAAAATAGGTTCATACACACTACTAGGAAGAACTTTGTATAATTTGAAGGTATCAAGGCTAGAATAACTTACATGAATGTCAAAGATGTTGTTAATAAACAGTCCGATGATATATTTAAAGCAAAGACATAGTCATCAGAGAAACTGTAGCAGCATTGGTAACAGAAAAAAATACCTCCGGATTAAATTTTGAGTCTTTGTTTAGCCCTTTTAAACCATATAACTTATATGCTTTTCAGCAATAATTTTTTTCCAATCTCTAAAATGGAGATAGAACAAATGTTTTTTGCTCTATGCAGCTGTGAGGAGTGAATAGTATGAACTCAAGTCTAGGCATGCACTATGAGTTTAATAAATATTAACTTTAATTATGAAATAGTATTTGAGGTATAGAACTTCTGTGATTCTTGCTTATAGCCTTTTCTAAATCACTCTCTTTTAGCCAAGCAGAAGAAAAGAAAAAGAAGGAAAGTGAATCAAGAAATAAAAGAAATTTTGCAAATCCAGCTTCTTTTGAGGCGAGTGACTGTTACTGAACATGTTAAGTGCATATGTGCCTGGAAATCCCTGGGCGGCACATTGGGACCCAATAATGTTCCTGAAGGAATATATTTATGCAGTTGCTATGTTTTGGATGTATACATTCACACTGCATATTCTGACTATTCTAGGTTTAGGTGTATAGCTTTTATCAGGTACTAAAAACCAGTACAAAGAACACATCTCCAAAGTTAAGAATCATTAAAAAAGGAGGTAACGGCTGGATGCTACTTAGGAAAAAAAGAGCAAAGCAAAACTCTCTTTCTCTAGTTTTTGCAATCTGTTCCAATCTACATTCAATATTTCCAACTAACTTGCTCAATTTCACAGGAATTGTGTGGTGAATATCGCAAGTTTATGCTGAACGGACGACTGCTGTGCACTAGAGAGAATGACCCCGTCCAGGGCCCAGATGGGAAGATGCATGGGAACACCTGCTCCATGTGTGACGCCCTCTTGTAAGTAGACCTGCAGCCACAGAAAATCGGAGGGAGCGGGCAGAGGGCATTGCCATGAGAAGTTCCTGGACAATAATGAATATAGCATTTCTCTTTTCAATTCAGTTCTATCACATATAAACAAAATAAATTTTAAAAAGACCCAAAGATCAACAAACTCCAAATAGCAATTGTAGAGATTTCAATTGATAATTGCTGTAATATTTTTTAAAAAATATATAGAATACTTTTTCTTATACATCTATAAAAGGGCACAGAGTTTTTCCATAGACTATTGCATGATAATCACATCAAACACTTTTCATTTCTCAAGGATTAGAATTTTAATTATTAAATTGTTGTTGTATCATTGAGTCAGAACTGACCCATAGCTGACCCTACAGTGAGTTTTCAGAGGCAGTTTAATTGCATGAAAGGAGAATTATATATATAATATTACTGAAGACTTATATATAAAACATTACTACTATGTGTAGCAAAATTGAAGGAATTGTTTCCAGTTCAGTCTTTGTTCCTAATCATCTAAGGGACTTCAAAGATTAGAATCTAATGATTGAGAAACAAAGGCAGACAGACTTGGGCTGAATACGAAGATAAACTTCTTAATAGGAAAAAGAGAGTTGGCTTCAGTAATGTTGCTTTTTTTTTGTAAAATTATATGTCCATTTGTAGGGGATGCGAAACAATTGGATTAGCCAAAGTTTTCACTAAATGCGTACAATATATTTGCGCATATTAAAAATTTTATCCTCTTTAAATATGAACAATAACCATACAAAATAGATTCTGTGCTACCATAAATTATAGATATAAAATGCCAAAGCCCAGAGATGATACTTGGGAATAAATAGAAATGTGGCACAAGATAAAATGTCATACTTATAATTTATAAAGGCATTTGTGAATTCAAGTAGGGTTGGGTTTTGTTATGGGGGTTTTTCCCTTTTTTTCTCTCCGTATTCATTTTACATCACTGTGAATTGGAAGCGGACATCAAGGTTTTGAATTTTGGGAATGAATCTTTCAGTCACGGAAAGCAATTCTGCCACCTAGTGGTCAGTTTTGCTGCTCCTCTGATACTGTCCTAGAGCAGAACCAAACGGCTTCTTGGATCAGTATTTACGTAGACTTATGAAAAAGTTTAAATGAGTTAACAATAACAACAACGGCAATATTATATAAACATATATATTGCCTACTGATAAGAAGCTGCACTGCCAACCCTAAGGCGTGTGGTTAAAACCCACCAGCTGCTTGGCAAGTTTATGCTGAATGGATGATTAATGGACCCATCCAATTTACCAGATTAGAAAATTCACTGGAGGGTCAGCAATCAGGTTTCAATTTGATGGCACACAAAACAACTATATATATATATACACACACACATATATATACACACACACACACACACATTTACATACACACACACACACACACACAGAGGGTGATTTTATGCGCATATATTGTATGTTGTACATAACAACATACAATGTATACTACAAATATATGTATGTATGTATTTAAGTTTTATGTTTTGGGTTTTTTTAATTTTATTTTATTTTATTATTTTTGTGTGTACCATCAAATCCTATCTGACTGGTACAGGAGGAGATTGCTCCTCCTTCTCTAGCAGAGCACCTGTTGGATTTGAACCACATACCTCTGGGATTGCAGTGCAGCTTCTTGCCAGGCCACCAGAGCTCGCTGAGTTTTACGTTTTGAGAGTTATTTTAGTGAGATTCTTCTGTTAATATAAAATTTTGTTACTAAAAAGAAATGATATTTTGTTGTCTCACATTTAATTGAGCTACTATCAGGTGATAATGTCCTTTTATTAGAATCTACCCTCTCCAACTGGTCCAGTCTGGGGCTTCGCCTGACATACTTTGGAGAAGTTGTAAGGAGGGACAAGTCCTTGGAGAGGGACATCGCGCTTGGTAGGGTGGAGGGACAGCACAGGAGGGGAAGACCCTCTATGAGGTGGATTGATTCAGTGTCTGGGGTAATTGGGATGGATGTGTCAGAGGCAGTGCGATTGGCACAGGATAGAGCAGGGTTTAGGGCTGTTGTACATAGGGTCGCTATGAGTCACAAGCAACTCGACGGCACATAACAACAACAACAACAACAACAACAACCCTTTCCAAAGAGAGAAGACTCATAAAGTTACATATACTTACACATGAGGTTATAGAAGAATCCTGAATATATTCTCTAGGACAATGTGTTTCTCTTCCTTATTCTTTTTTCCTTATGTTCTTATTCTTTGTAATCAACAAGATCAAAGGGCAAGACTGTCTTCCCACCTTTAAAAAAAATTTTAAATTGATTAGCCAGATTATCAAGGCTTTTTATAACAGCGTGATTAATCTTTTAGTTTTATTGTTTTATGTTATATACCTAGTACACTAAACTGTATTTGCAAGACTGCTAGTGAGAACTATCACACTCATTTCATTTCTATCATGTGCTTATTATTGAAGAGTTTCTTTTCAATGATGATGATGCAAACCAAATCCAAACACCCTACACTGCTCAGTCGATGCCAACTCATGTTGACTCTCTACTGGGTTTCTGAGGCTGTGAGTCTTTATGGGAGAATATTGTGTATCTTTCTCCCACGCAGCAGGCTTGCAAACTTTAACTGCAGATCTTTTAGTTCACAGCTAAACATCTAACACCTTGAGCTAACAGAAATGTGGTGATATCATTTACTTACACTACTTATATCACTTTATTCTGGGCTCATATCATATCTATTCTAAATGGCTACATCCATCAATTCATTCTTAAATGAGTTCATAATAATCTTGTGATACATATACTCATTATTTGTTCCTTCCCTCAACCTTTATTTAAAATGGTGAAACCAAGGCACAGAAAGGTTCAGGAACCTGCCTGGGCTCCTTGTTTACTCTGACCCAGGGTCTTTCTTCTGATCTACCATGCCATACAAATCAAGTTGTAATTACAAGTCAAGTAAAATCATTTTATAAAGATTTATTATTGTAGATGTAAAAAATCAGCAAATAAAATATTATTCAATAAAGATACTAAGACATTAAATAGGCTCACTTATTAACTGAGAAATTTACATATTGTTCTCCCAAAGTGAAAATTTCATTCTATCTCATTACCCAGTAAAATGACAAACAACAACGTGTGGATCTTTGAAGGTGTTTGAGAATGGTCAAAGAAATAAATGATCGCCGAGTGAGTGTTAAAGATCTGCTCCATTAAAATGTATTCTCTCTTGTCCTCTCCTCCTCCATCCCTATAGTCAACAACAAGCAAGAGCGAAGGCAAAACGAGAAGCTGCAAAGGTAAATTTTCCAGAAATGGTCATGTTAGGACCTGACATTATTTTTTCTACAAAAGCGTTCTCTGTATCTCATTTTCATAAGTTCTTTCCTGCTCATTTTTCATGCTTGAAATAAAAAAATAAAACGTTTACTCTGAAAAACTACCACAGTGATAAGCTTCAAAAATATCAAGTGTGCGTAATTATTATTCAAAAATATCAAGTTTACGTAATTATTATTCACATATTGACATTGATTTAATGGAGCTCTGGTGGCATCGTCCTTAGGGAGCAGTCCCTGCCAACCCAACGATGGTCCCTTTCCTGCAGCTGGACTTCACCAGCAGCTCCGCAGGGGAGGGGTGGGTAGAGTCTTCTCCTGTGCGGTTTACAGCCTCCACAACCTGCTGGAGGGGAAGTTATGAATTGGTTCTGGATCATGGCTATGAGTTTAAGTGTGAATTTTGAATTCTATATGCCCCATAGTTAAATTTTTCTTACATTTTTGTATTTTCTCAAAGATCATTCAGATGAATGTGGGTAATTTTATAAATTCAATTTATACCATTGATATTTCTACTATTTCAAAGAGAAAGTACAAGAGTCCTATTATTCCTGTTAGCTCAATTTAAACAAAACAAAATGTCTATTATCACACTGGATCTTTGCCACTACCTAGCTATAGAAGTAACACTAGTTTTCTTATGCCCAATAAATAGAAAAGTCCTCTGACTTTTCAGTTTTTTAACTTCATGCTTTTCTAGTTATTCTAAATAGTGTGTAAATACTGTATTTTTTTAATTGCCGTATACAAATTCTTTACTTTTTAAAATAAAATTATATTGGGTTTTCAGTTAAAGTTTACAGGTTTTTCTCTATTGTATTTTCCAATGACAACTGCCAAAAATACAAAGATCAATATTTGGGAAAAGTTAACACAGTTAAAAATGTTTACCTTTAAATTAACTCACTTTCTCAATGACTACACTACTTGACTATACTACCATATTTTATTGGTAATTAGAACTGAAAATGTGTTTCAGTCACCATATGTAGTCAGTTGCCAATTTCTTTCAGGTTCTTCAAATGGTTCTTAGACATTAGTCTATTTCACTTTATTGCTACTATTATGGTTCAAAGCTAGCTTCCTCCATCCTTGGATTTGACCCACACACTCCCACCTCACTCTGGTTATTCTCACATAGACTTTAAAAAAAAAGACTACGTGTAATTGTTATGTTGTTGTTAGATATTGTGGAGTGGAGGGCATGTGTTTATTTTCTCATGTGAAACCTATGCTTGGACCAGGTGGTAGCTGTCAGAACAGAGCAAGGAAGCAAAGAAACACTTCATAGTTAAAAATCAGGAAAACGTGTGTTAAGGGATGAGTCCTTTCTCTATATCTTTTCAATCTATATGCAAAACAGATCATTTGGGAGGTTGGACTTTATGTGAACAAATGTGGCATCAGGATTGGAGGAAGACTCATTGACAATCTGTGTTATGCACATGACACAACCTTGCTTGCTGAAACTGAAGTTAGCCTGAAGCATTTGCTGCAGAGGGTCAAGAACTGTAGTCTGCAATGTGGATTGAATATCAATATCAAGAAAACAAAGATTCTCGCCACTGGGCCAATTAACAGCATGACTATAGGTGGAGAAGAGATTGAGATTGTTAATGAGTTCAGCTTGTTTGGTTTCACAATCAATAATCTTGGCATCAGCAGTCAGAAAATAAAAAGACTAATTATATTAGGAAAATCTGCTGTAAGGGACCTCTCCAGAGTGTTAAAGAGCAACAATGTTAGTCTAGATCCCAAAAGGTGTGCCTGGTCTAGGCCATGGTCTTCATAATTACCTATGATGCATCAGAGAACAGGACCAAGACCAAAGAAGACAAAAGAAAAATTGATACCTTTGAGTTGTGGTGCTGGAGAAGAATATTGAATGTACTATGGACCACCAAGAAAACCAACAGGTTTGTCTCTCCTGGATAGGGTGAAGCCAAACAGTTCCTTGGAAGCAAGGATTTTGAAGCTCTGCTCACATACTTTACGCATGCTGCCAGGAGGGACCAGTCTTTGGGGAAGGGCATCATGCTTAGAAGGGTAGAGACAGTGCAGGAGAGCAAGATCCAGGATGAGATAGATTGACATGGCAACTGCAGTTATGCAGGTAGATGTGTCAGAGACAGTGAGACTGGCTCAGGATAGGACAAGGTTCAGAATGATTGTATATAGGGTCACTGTGAGTCATGGCCAACTCAATGGCACATAACAACATTTTTCTTCTTACTCTTCTTGTAATAGGGGAAAAGATGCAGAAAAGATAATTGTCTTGAGCAAATATTGTCTTTATTTTCAAGGATCTCTGCAGTGAATATAAGGATCAAGTGAGAAATGGAATGCTCATATGTACTAGGGAGAATGATCCAGTCATTGGCCCAGATGGCAAGATGCATGGAAACAAGTGCTCCATGTGTGCTAGCATGTTGTAAGTATCTCCCCCCCATTAAATTTCTATATTATATGTCATTCTTTAGTCTCACATTCTTCATAAATGCATTAAAATCAACTCATATATACTTGTTGTTGTTGTTGTTGTGTGCCATCTCGTAACCCTCCAGTGGATTTTCTAGATGATGAGAAAGCTATTATGGGAAGGGAGGTCTGGTGCCCTAGTGGCAAGAAGCAGCACTACAATCCCAGAGGTACGTGGTTCAAATCCACCAGATACTCTGCTGGGGAAGGAGGGTCAATCTCCTCCTGTACCAGTCAGATCAGATTTGATGGTACACACACACACACACACACACACACACACACACACACGAATAAAATGTCAACAATAAATTTAAAAAAGAATACTAGGATGGTAGGCTCAATATCATCTACCTCAAAAATTTAACTCATTCCAGACTGACTAACAACTGCCTCCAAACTTATATCTCACCTTGAACTTTAAATCCATTAAATTACAATTTAGTATTTTTAGGGAGCTCTGGTCACGTAGTGTCAAGAAGCTACACTGCAATCCTGAAGATGTACAGTTCTAATCTACCGGATGCTCCACTGGAGAACGAGGGGCAAACTCCTCCTATGCCAGTCAGGTTAAAATTGACAGTACACAACAAGGTAGGGGGAGAAAAAGAAAAGATAAGATTTAGTATTTTTATTATATATAATTTTACTGAGTATGATGTATTATAAATATGGGTTCATAACACCATTTAATATACTTTTAACACTGATATTGTAGGTAAGATAGGACAAAATTCTTCAATTAAACATAGCAAAACAATTGTAGTGTATTTTAGGCCATTGATCTAAGCACTAAAATGGAAGGGGTGGGTAGGGTGGGCGCAGGAAGAGGGGTTAAGGGGCCTAGCAGTAAGTAGCTGCACTGCAATCTCAAAGGCACCCTGTTGGAATCCACCAGCCGCTCATCTGGAGAAAGATTGGCAATCTCCTCCAGTGCTGAAAATCCACCAAAGAGTCAGCTCCAACTTGAAAGTACACAGCAAAAACAAGGGGAGAAAAAGTCACCTAAGGCCTGCATGCCTATTTCTTCCCCTAATAAAGCATGGTAATTTTATTCTTTTCAAAGGAGATTAACTGAATATCTGTATTATTCAGTAAAAAAATATTAGTCTGTGGTTGAGTAATTTGTGCTAAAGCCTGAATCTGTGTGTGTGTGTGTGTGTGTGTGTGTAACGTGAGTGTATGTTGTTTTTGATTGCCGTTGAGTTGAACACAACATATAGCAAACCTATGAACAAAGACTTAAAGCCTTGCTATAACTATCGTCGTTTCTCAAAGTTTATAGAAATTCCAGAAACATGTTGTTTAGGAAGTGGATGCCACTTCTGCATGGAATATGATGTTGTTGTTAAGTGCTGTCAAGTCGTAGGCAACTCATAGCA